TTTGTGAGTGTAAAACACTTAAATACAGCATTTCAATATTGAAAAGAATCTTGCAACACGTTTAAATGAAGAGAAACTGCACTGTCAAATTTGAGAAAGGTTATAAGTAATTTTCATAACAGCATAGTTTGAAATTTTTGTACAAATATTGTAGAGTAACGTTTTAAAGATTATGAAAGGTAAATTTTGAATGGCAATTATAAATCAGAAAAGAAATATATGATAAGTACAGTTTCTGTGTGTGGTTGCAATTGTTTAAAACACAGTTCACATTGCCCTGTTAATTTATAATGCATTTTTAAAATTTATTGAAATATCTTCAAAGTAAAATAATAATTGTGTTTTTCATAGGGTTATACAAACACAGATAATCCATTTGGTGATGCCACTCTTCTGAAGACCTTTGTGTGGAGTAAAAAGTTGGAGAAAGAAGGCTTAAAGAAACTTACTTCTGAAGAGATTGAATTTAGAAATAAAATAAAGCTAGATGAAAGCAAGGTAAAAACATGTGATCATGAATTGAAGTATTAGAAGTTACAAAGAAAGTATATGTATACATGGTTTTACTTATGCTATGTCAGATTTGAGTTTCCATACAAAATGTAAATCTTTACATGTGAATTGTTCAGGATGGTCTAAGTATATATTACTGAAAGTATTATTATCCCTTTTATACTAATAATAGGAACCATTGAGCTTTGCATTTAAGGTTTTCTGGTTCTTAATACTAACTATGCCAGACTGTTACCTTACTTGTGAAGTATGTAATTCATTTTTCAAACAGTGTCCAAGACCATTATGTACATTTTTTGGATTGATCTTTCAATAAACATACACAAATAAAAGAACGTTGCTTGTTGAATTATAACAAAAACTATAATTGTAATAAAAAATCTTCCACATTTTTAATTACAGTTAAGTGTGGAATATTTTATCATTTTATATGTTTAAAGCTTTAAATTCTTTGATTCATGACAACCATATTTATCAAAATTTATATCATGATATATATATATATATATGTATGCCTGTTTCTAACTCACATTTTTTTAAATGTTTTAATAGAGAGAGCTTGAGAAAGTGAAACAGAGGAGGCTTGAAAGGGAACGTGAGCGTGAAGCTCGAGAGGATGAAATGGTGATGAATATATTACATTCTGAACTAGATTGTTGTGAGAAATTTTTGCAACTGTGTATGTTAACTGCTTTTAAAGGTTTTTCCAGTACTTATATATATATATCATTTACATTAGCCTAGTTATTATGTCCAAGGGTCAACAAACAGGTTTCCCATTGCTATGTTTATTCAGTCTTAAAATGTTTGATATTTTTTAGCTACAGAGAGTTATTAGTTTTAGTTTACAATAAAAAAGAATTAAAAGTTCCATTTCAAAAGTTTCTTTTACAGCCGTATGATAATGAATATAAATGTTTTGTAAATATAAACTGTAGATATTTTAGAATGTTGTGAAACATTGCAGCATGTTTTCACTTCATTCCTCACGTTGTGAATTCCGCATGTGATGTACAAGGAAGATTATGTTTTTGCATCTTTCTCCTAGATCCAAACACTTTCCTATGTGTTTATCATGCGTGACCCATGAAGGCGAAAAGAGGATTTTTGCATTTGAAACACACCACTTTGGTTTTGCATTTCTATCGACAACTGCCTCTGAGGTAGACATTATTACTAGTATTGATGTTTGAGTATGGTTCTGTGAGACCCTGGCATTTTTGCATGGCTCTCAATGTGTTGAGCTTTTGACAGTGTACCATGTCCCCTTATAGGATCCATGGTGGGTGGAACGTTTTCTTATGGATTTTGAAAAGTCACTGCCTTCAGTACCAGTATACCAGTCCCTTGATTTCTGATTCTCCATTCTTTATCAGAAACACCTCTTTCTAAGATGTTTCCTTTCTTCATTCTAAAAAGGATTATAGGAGCTTGCCAACTCTCTCTCAAGTTAATAGAGAAGTTAATATCTGGGACCTTGTGGTCGAAACATCAAGACTGCTACACAATGGACTCTATAGAGCAAAGGCCGTTGGAAGAGTTCTTTGAAATCCTCAAGAGCAGTAATATGTGAGAAGGTTTTTCTTAACATCTTCAGAGATTCTTGCTCAACACCTCACACGAGGAATGTAAGGTTAATCTCCACTTGAAAGAGTGGAATATTTGTAGCTGACAAGAGTGCTTGTATTGACCATCTGCCAACAACATGACAGATCACTTGCAATGCTAAGCTTTCAGTGTTTTTTCATTTGGTCAGTTTGACTGAGCCTGTGTTGAGAGAGTTAATGTTTCTATTTAATACAATCCCAGATTGACCTTCATCCACAACTTTCACATAAATTATAATTTTTTTGTAAGTGGAAATTTTTTTTTCTCATCAACCATAAGACCAATTTCTGGACTACATTCAATAAAGTTTTATATTTGCTTTTGCTTCTGAACACCAATGCACCTTCTATGTTTTAAAATGAACCAGAATAATTCAATGTTGATACTCTTGTTTTCAGACTTTCGCATCCTTTTTCAATCTGAAAGTAGAATCATAGTGCCATTTATAGTAAAATCTGCAGTCATAATTGCTTACAATTGCTCAAGATTGCCTGTAAAATGAAATAGGGCATTTTGACTCTTACATAAAAATGAAAGTAATATTAGGGGTTTCGAAAGATAAATTTTAGATAGTAATATATTCTGAGAAATTGGATAAAGGGAATATATTATGGTAACTATAAGTATAATAATAATAACTATATTTCAATTACTGCCACATATTATCTACAGATTCAAAATCAGAAAATAACTCTCACAAGTTCATACAGCAAGACAGAAAGGTAACAATACAAAAAACTGACTCATTTATAAAATGAAAATTACCTGTAAATTAAGCTGGCTTTCAAATTTCCTCTCGGGAATCTCCTGATCTGCCATGGATTTATAATTGTGGTTGTTTAATCTAGTAATGTTTTCATCACTTTTATCGATGTTTATTTAAACCAAAGTGCAATAAAGTTGCCATTTTGACTGGAAATGAATCTTTTATTTTTTAATACTTCTGCTTGATGACAAAAATGGTGATTTCCCCTATTTTGTATGAACTATTGTAAGTTATTGAAAACATCATTCTTAATAGTTGAAATATGTTAAAAATTGGAGTTTTGTACTAGAAAAAAGCATTATTCGATTACAATAAATTTATTGTGGAGTAAAATTTCTCTGTCGCAATGACACTATTGTTTTATGAGGGTGTGCTTAAAATATGCATATGTACATTAATGGAAATAGTGTTTCTATCCATCTGTAATACTTTCAATTTCAGTGGTTTTTTACACTATAAGACATTTTGTTGAGTCTTTAATCTTTGGTGCAGTAGCAAAAGCATTAAAATTTTTGAGTGTCACAATGAGTCACACAGTGTTACGTACACGTGTTCCTACCCCTTCTGTTCCAAATCATGTCCAGTTGTGACTGATTTGCAGGACAATTGTTTGGTAGCAACCTCCTTCCTTGATATCTTAGTCATCTGATGGGGGCTTGCCCCTTTAATCCTGGTGGGTTGATGGCTTTACTATTGATAGAAATGGATCTCTTCAGCAGCCAGTCAGGAGGGGTGGGAGTGAGGGTGGCCATGCTAATGCAGTTGAGGTTTTCATGCTGGCTTAGATATAATTGAGACACTTGTTGGTTCGTGTCGTCCGATGTGTACCTCTTCATGAAGGACATTTCTGTGAGCTACTGTTAAGTAGTTTTCATTGCTTGGAGAGAGTAGGAAAGTGTGATGACACAGCTAATGGAGACATGGACATCATTAGACTTCAGAGATACAAGTAGCAAAACCATGGAGGAAGCACATCAGCTAATCAGCAAGGTCACCTAACCATACAAGTTCTTTCTGCTTTTTCTAGATTTGATCAGTTGTGAAGATCTTGTTGAGCAAATATGTTCTCCCTTTGTTGGGATGCTTGGGTAGGAGTAGTCTACTCTAGAGTGTTAAGGATGTTGGTGGAAATGTTTGGTACGTGGAATATTGCTCTCAGTTACAACCTTTCTCCAATCCTGGATAGTATACTTGTTTCCATTTTCTGGGGCAGACTTTTGTTATGGGCTTGTTGCTTTGGCTGTCTGTCTGTATAAGGTTTTGGAGGGGATGGTTTTATTTTTCTTGTTTGACTCTTTAAATCAGGCAGGATCTTGTCCAGCAATCAATGTAGTTTCTGCAGTCCACCATGGGCTATTTCTTGGGAGAGAGCATCTTGTGTTATCCATTTTATTATCTTGAGAGAGTTTGTGGATCCACTTGGAGGTTTGGTGTCTTGTAAGATCTTCATTCTTTAAGTGTTTCATGCCCATTTGACCATTTTTGTGTTTAGCATTGTCCCAGTCCTATGCCCAGGGTGTGGTCATTGGTGTTGCACATGTTATTGTTGGAGTTGGTGTCATTGCTGAGTAGCTTCCTCCTGCAATTTCACTCTGCAAATGGGCTTTCCACATTTGTACACAGATTCCTAACAAGCTACACTTCACTCTCCAGCATTTGCATTGTTCTTTGCAGTATGTTGCGGAGCTCCTACCTTTGCTACGGCATTCCACTTGACACTGCATTTGCATGTCTCAGTTGGCTGTACTTTTTGCAAATAGATGGTCTTCTTTCCTCATTTTTGATCCTTATATCCAGGCAAGGTTGTCTGATTGGGTCTAACATTAGAATGACATTGCTGTATCTGATAATCAGCCCATCCCCATCATTGTTTTTTACCGTTACTCACTACAATTTGTTTCTTGAATTACCCAAAGTTGTTGGACAATCTCAATCAGAAGTACCGGCTCCTCTTTCCTGAATACCTTTCAAGCCATCTTTATATACCAGTTTTGACATATGGCTTGAAATCAAGTAATTCTGTATGCTCAGCCATGGTTTACTGCAATTCTTTTTGTTTGGCTGTCAGGATACCATGTGTAAATGTAGTACATAGAGGCTGTCAGAGAAGAGGTGGTTATCCTAGCAGGTCTCCAAATTAGCCACAGTTCTATTGCACATTATTTTCTGTGAGGGAATGACCCACTGATGTGTGGGCAGTTGATTTTTGGGTTGCAGTTGCCCACATATTGCTTTATTGATGTTCCTTTGGTATTTGACTGTGTCATTGGCAGCAATGATGCAGTTTGGATTGATCATGTTTTTTTATGGGCTATGGGCCTTTTGAGCTGTGTGTGATATTTAAATATTTATAAAAATAAAATCTTCTGTTTTGCACTTTTACCATATACTCCTTTTTTAAAACCTTTTAACAATTTTATTGTATTCTCTGAAAATACAAGATAACATAACCAATTGTTTGGTAAAGATATCTTGGCTTTGCATCAAAATACCAAGAAACCTGTATTTTGTTGGTTATAGGAGTTTCTGATTTATTCTAAAATTTCCTGATTTCTTATATTCTAAAATCTTTGTTGGTTTCTTCAGATCAAAATCTAGAAGACAGCAACTCCACAATAATTGCCATGTGTAGTTAAATATCAGTGATGGGAGGAGTATCATAGTGTTTCTACTTTAATAATTCATTTTATTAATTTATGATATAAACTTATAATATTTTAAGAGTTTTGAAATAAAGAAATGCTCTACTGTTTTGTAATTTCAAAAACGTTTTGCCTACTTTCAGACAAAGCTTCAAAGAGAGAAAGAAGCTGCTCAGTTTAAAGAATGGGAAAAACAAGAAGACATAGTAAGTTATAAGGTTTTAATGATCTCTTTATCTTGTTTTGAAGAATATATCCATTGCAATTTATTTATTATAGGCTTTAGTGGATAGCTCATTGTAAATTAATACACATATATATATAAAAAAAACATTGAAACATATACAACACCATAAGATTTCATTTACTTTTTTTCAAAAGTGATATGGCCTTGCCAATTTAGCATAGATATTTTTCTAATGTCTCCATCTTTTCTTTTTTACTCATTTTGAAAACTGTGTATAAGAAAGGTAGGTTTTAAACTTGTAATCCCATCTTTCATAAATGAGGAAAGAGAGATTTGTTTGAAGTAAAACTGTTGAAGATAAGTCATTATTGTTGTAGTTAGTGGTCTATATGATCATAAAATTATTAAATAGTTAACTTATTTTTATTAGTAAATATTAATTACTAATTAGTTTATATCTTACATTTTGGCTAATAATCTGCTGCCGTGTTTAACGGCACCTAAGAAAGATTGTAAGTGGTAAGAGGGAATAAGATTTGATCCAGTATCTTGTTTGACAGGTTAGTTTACTATCCATTTATATAGAATCTCTTTTAACTCTTTCACTGTGGGCTCAGTCCAAGGGACCAACCTCATAACCATTTTGTGCTTGTTATAGTTTTCTTGCTATAACTTTTAATACAGGTGTATCTTCATGAAATTTTGTAGATATCAGTAAACATTGCAAGGCTTTCGTATGCAAGATATCAGATTTTTTTATTAAATTTTAAGTAATGTCTTTCACATGCATTTTTTCTCTTCAAATGTTGACTATCAAACATTCAAAGGAATTTTGATTTTAAGATTAAAGATACTTTTATTTTTAAATTTCACATACAAAATCTTTATAACCTTCAGAAAATTATCAAATTGTTTTTTTTTTAAAAAACTTAAATTTTATCTGTTATTTTCACTATTGTATTTCTGTACAGGTTTGGTCAATTTGACCGACCTCGTAACCACCATAAAAAATTGGAAAATAGGTATAAATTATGCATTTTTTGTTCTAGAATGACTACCAATTATAACACAAAAATAGCTTAAGTCTCATAACATTATCCATCTATATATATTTATTATTTTTATTTTA